ACCCCCTTTTAAAGTCATAAAGTCTTTACACACAGGCATTCCTACTGTGGCTATGTGACCTTGATTGGAATTGGCTGGTGCTCATGGAAGCTGCATGAAATTATTGGGACTGGATGGCTCTTTGGAATTAAGTCCTCTCAATGCTTATAATTTTATTAGTTAGGAAGCAGAGCCAGGAGGATCAGGAGTTCAAGGCCACTCTCAGCTACATAGTTTGAGTCCAACCTGTGATACAAGAGCCTCTGTCTCAAAAACAAAACAAAACAAGACACCCAGAAGAAAAAATGAGAAAGATATTGGAATTAGCAGACAAGTACACTAAAAGTAATAAGTATAGTCCATGTAATCTGAAAGCTAAGTAAAAGAGTGAATAATAGAAAAAGGAAGTAGAATTTCTACATATGAAAACTACATAATATAAGTTAAGACAGAGGGCATGGACATATTTATAATATGCCTGCAAATTACACTTCACAGCACAAAATAAATGTAACGATTTTTGATACTGGAACTCTACAAAAACTATAAAAAAAATCATCCAAAGAGACAAACTATCAATGAACTGTGATAAATGGGATTGGTGCATTTAAAGTTTGTATGAGAGCCAGTAGATGAATATTTAACTAAATTTTATGAAACAATAAACCCACAAATTTAATGAACTTAAGTTTCACTCAGGTGTTAAAAAAAGTCTTGATTTTCTCAAATGAGTACCAGGGGTAATCACAAAATAATATATTGTGTGAAAGAATAGCAATACATTTAATATCACAAGTAGTATGAGATGACACAAATAAATGAAAATGTAACCTGTCTTTTTCATGTTTGGGGAGATCCTGCTGCTAATTCTGCAAAACAATGTACAGATTCAATGTGATCACCATTAAAATCCCAGTGTCAGTATTTTTCAGAAGAAAAATCAGTATAGGCCTGGGAGTGATAATACACACCTTTAATCACAGCACGCAGGAGGCAGAAGAGGGCAGATGTTTGTGAGCACAATGCCAACATGCTTTATAAGTTAAGTTCTGGGCCACTTGGGATTAAAAAATGAGACTCTGTCTCAAAAACAAAATTGAAAAGAGCAAAAAGACATATATTACATGAAGTTCTCAAATAATTATTTTAAAAGAACAGCACATAAAACACAAAATTCAAATTTCCTATGGAATCTTAAGGAATTTTGAATATCACAAACACGTTTTTAAAAGGAACAAAGTTTGAGGATGGAGAGAATGGTTCCATGGTTAAGAGCACTTACTGGTCTTGCAGAGATCCTAGTTTCAATTCCCTGCACCCACATGGTAGTTCATAGCCATTTATAGTAACTCTAGTTCCAGGGGCTCCTGGCCTCCTTGTGTACCCACCTGTACATGGCACATATATAAGCAAGCAGGCACACTTACATAATATAAAATTTAAGGGAACAAAGTTTTCCCTTCTCCCAAGATTCAGAAACATTTTGGAAGAGGGATTGGAACAGAAAGAATATAAGAGGCAGAGGTTGGAGAATACAGAGCTGAAATAGTATCTTCTGAAAAAAAGTAGGACCACTGCATTTGAGAATTCATAGCAAGTATTGTTACTTGCCCAAGACCTACACAAGATCAAGCCAATCAGCATTCTCACACTAAATTTCAAACTGTATTACAAAGCAATAATAATCAAAACAATGTGATGCAACACTTAAACAAAAAGACCAACAGAATGCAATAGAATACTCCAGATAAACTCCCACATATATTGTCAAATAATCTTTTACAAGGATGTGAACACTATTCTATCGGTGTTAGATAGACTCTTCAACAAATGGTTATGTGACAACTGTATTTCCACATGAAAAACAATGAAACTGTTATCTTATTTTCCACTACATACAGTTAACTAAAATGAGTTAAAGGTCTCAACATGTAGACTAAAAAAGTAAAATTAGAAAAATGTGATAATGTGCATCAGGGACATAGACAATAGTGGAAAAGCAACATAACTTTGCAAATTGTATATGTGATAGGTTAACATGAAGACCCATAAACTACATTTGAATGATATAAAAATCCAATAATCTAACTAAAAATGGAGAGTGATGGAGCTGGAAAGATGGCTCAGTACTTAAGAGTGTTTGTTACTCTTGCAGAGTTCCCACTTAGGGCAAAGATCATAACTGTGCGTAACCAGGTCTCCCTTCTGGCCTTTGTGAGTACCTGCACACATTTGACACACACATAGATATGTACACATCAAATAAAATTATAATAAACTCCCCTTAAAAAAAAAGGACAGTGATGAACATGAAGTCCCAGCATCTGAGATGCTGAGGTATAAGGATTATTTGGGCTCAGACACTGTTTGAGTGACAGACACTGTCTCAAAATAAGGCAAAGCCAAGTATGGTTGCACTCCTATCATCTTAGCATTTGAGAGGCTTCAGCAGGAGGGTTGCCATGAGTTTAAGGGCAGTTTGGATGGACTATACAGTGAGTTCTAGGTTGGCCTAGACTAAATGGCGAGATTATATCTCAAAACAACATAAAGGAAAGGAAAGAAAAGAAAGGAAAAGAAATGAAAAGAAAGAAAAGTAAAAATGAACAAAGGACTGAATAGATATTTTTTCCAAAGATGATATTGTTATAAGTAATATTGTCAACTTGACAGGATCTAGAATTACATAGGGGACAAGCGTCTGAACATGACTTTGAGCCACTTATCTGGATTAGGCTAAACAAGGTGGGGAGACTTACTTTAATTGTGGATGGCATCATTCCATGGGCTAAGATTCTAGACTGAATATAAAAGAGAAAATGAGCTTAGAATGAACATTTATCTCCTGCTTCCTGTTTATGGATGATGAGTTGTCTCAAGCCCTGCTACCAAGTTCCACCCATAATGGGTTATACCTCAAACTATGAGTCAAAATAAGCCCTTTCTTTATCAGTTGTGTTTATCAGATACTTTGTCATAACAATGAAACAATTATCCAGTATGGATATTATAAGTGTTCAACAGAGAAAGGAAAATTATCTTCATTATCCCTATTACAGAGATTTAACCACCAACCAAACAGCATGCACGGGCTGGACTTAGGCCCCCTACACATATGTAGCAGATGTTCATCTTGTTCTTCATGTGGATCCCCTAACAATTTGAGCATGGGCTACCTCTGACCCTATTACCTGCTTTTGGATACCTTTCCCCTAGCTGGGCTGCCTTGCTTGACATCAGTGGGAGAGGATGCGTTTTGTCCTGCTGTAACTTAATGTACCAGGGTGGGTTGGGACCCTTGGTGGGAGGGCCTCCCCTTCTCTGAGGAGAATAGTAGTGGGGAATGGGGGAAGGGAACGTAAAAACTGGAATGGAAGGAGAGGAGGGAGCCTGCAGTCAGATTGCAAGGTGAATAAATAAAAAATAAAAATAAAAAAACTGATTATCAAAGAAATGAAGATTAAAACCACAGTGAATTCGCTTCACACCCACTATAACAATATCATAAAATGACAAGTTATGGTAAGTAAGTAAATAAATAAGAGTAATTGTATAGTTATTGTGACTCTAAAATGGTACAGCCACCATGAAAAAAAATAGTAAGATGTTCCTGGGAACATGCCTGTTCCTGTTTATAAAAAACTATTTGTAAACTTTGGGCACAGTGCAGGGAATCTTATGAAAGAGGGGGAGATAGAAAGACTGGAAGGGTCTGGAGCTCCACAAGAACAGAACCAAAAAATCTGGGCTTAGGGGTCTTTTCTGAGACTGATACTCCAAACAAGGACTATTCATGTATATTACTTAGAATCCCTGCACAGAGGTAGCCCATGGGACTTCATTCTCTAAATGTGTTCCCTAGTAATGGGAACAGGAGACGTCTCTGACATGAACTCAGTGGCTGGTTCTTTGATCACCTCCTCCTGAGGGTGGAGCAGCCTTACCAGGCCACAGAGGAAGACTATGAAAGACAGTCCTGATGAGACCTGATAAGCTAGGGTCAGATGGAAGGGGAGGAAGTCCTCCACTATCAGTGGACTGGGGAAGGGCCATGGGAAGAGATAAGGGAGGAAAAGAGGAAGGGTGGTATTTTGGGAGGGGATGAGGGTGGGGCTACAGCTGGGATACAAAGAGAATAAATAGCAATAAATAAAAATTATATTAAAATGATTTATAATAGCATGAGCTAGAAGCAACCCAAATGTCCATTGATAGATGTGGTATACAAAGACAGATAAAGTGTGGTAAAAACATACTATGAAATATTATTCAGTTTTATAAGAAAGAAAATTGGGGTTGGAGAGACAAGCCAAGTGCTTGGCATGCAAACATGATGATCTGAGTTTGATTCCCAGAACCTATGTGAAATGTTGGCCTTGGAGGTATGTGCTAGGATCCTAGCACTGGGGAAGTGGAGACAGGTATATTCATATTCATATTCATATTCATATTCAATGCCCAAAGAGTCTAGCCTAATTTATGAGCCCTGGGTTCTTTTTTCCTCCTTTTAATCATTTTACAGCCCCCACTCTCTCTCCTTCCAGTCCCACTGTCATACACCCTCCTCCCATTTCCCCTTCTCCTTCTTCTCAGAGAAGGAGAAGTCCCCAAAGAGGTATCAACTTACCCTGACATCTCAAGTCACATCAGGACTAAGTGTGTCCTCTCCCACAGGGGCCTGACAAAGCAGCTTAGCTAGGGGAAAGGAATCCTAAGGCAGGCAAAAGAGTTGGAGACAGCTCCTACTCTCATTGTTAGGGAAAGTACACGCTGAGGTTCTATTGAGAGACCGTGTATCAAAAATTAAGGCTTTTGTTTGTTTGTTTGTTTCTGCTACTCCTTATTTGTATCCAGAACAACGCCTATGTAGAGTTTCTGTGTTGGGACTTCGATAACCTTCCTCGACTTTGATAATCTTCCTCGTCATCCCTGTTCAACGACAGCAAGTAGCCAGTAGCCGTCTCCTGACTCTTCCTCCTGACATTCTAGAAGCAGAAGACAACTCTACTTCCCTACAAAGGAGCTGGGCATCATAGCCATGAAGTTTGTATTGTACCTCTATCTTCTGGGGGTTGTATTGACCCTGCTGTCCATCTTCGTTAGACTTATGGAGTCACTGGTGACCTTCTTGGAGAACCCATTGCCTGGGATTTTCAGGATCACTAGAGGTCCACTAGTCAACCGAGCGCATCCAGAGCGCTTTTCAAGATCATCCATGTAGAGGAGTGCAATAAAACCTCCCTCCACTCTGTCCAATGTTTGGTTGTAAGTCTCAGCATCTGCTTCAATACTCTGCTGGGTAGAGTATTTCACAAGTCCTCTGTGGTAGGTTCCTGTCCTGTTCCTTGTCTTCTCAGGCTTTTGATGTCTATCCTGTTTCCCCTTTTGAGTGAGGATTAAGCTTCTTTCCTAGGGTCCTCCTTGTTGTTTACCTTCTTTAGACCTATAGATTTATTATGTTTATCCTATACTATGTGGCTAATATCCATTTATAAGTGAGTATATACCATGTGTGTCTTTCTGCTTCTGGGATACCTCAGTCAGGATGTTCTTTTCCAGTTCCACCCATTTGCACA